GAAAGGGAGGAGCTTTCGTGCTTCCCTGCCTACGCTAGTGGGGAGAGGCGGAGAGAGCAAAGATGCATTCGACAGCAGTTAAGTGATGCCTCGCACAGATTACAAGCTTCTCCCCAAACTCCCTCCAGACTTTCCGGTGACCTTGAAAGTTGCGTAGCTCCCCGGGTTAACCCGCGGAAAAGTCCCCCGCGAAGACTGAAAGTAAAGCTGGTTCCCTGGTTTTCCAGGGAACGCGTCTGGCTGAATGCACGGGGCGTGCTTCTGAGTAAACCTGAATTGCACTGGAAGGGGCCACACCGTACGTGTGTATGTGCGAGCGAATTCCCTAGCTATGCGGTAAGTGGCTGTAGTTACAACAGGCGTGCGTGTTCGCCCTTTTAAAGTCACTCTGAAGTATAATGCACGCCTCTACAGGTTTACTCGGAAATAAAACTCACTGATAAATGAATTCCCTGGGTAGAGTCCTGGCGTGGGAAAACCCGGGTTCAAATCCCTATTCCAGTGTTTCTCAACCTGGATGGGGAATCCTGGGAGTTGAAGTCCACACATCTTGAAGTTGCTAAGGTTGTGAAACACTGCCCTATACAGTCGGGGCTCGCTGGATGACTTTGGGCCAGTCCCGGTTCAAGTGCTTCTCAAGTTTTTACGATTGTTGAATCCATGTCTGCCACCGTGAGCTTCTTAGAGGAAGATCGGGATTTAAGAAATAACGGTTCTGAACAGCAGCTTCAGACTGTGAGTTTAAGCATCACAAACCCACATGACATCACTGATTTTAGCAATGCCATGTCATACCTATCAGACTTTGTAGAATCTGCATTTTCATATATATGTTTAATTGCATTGTCATATGAATTATTTTTCCTTGGAAGAAGAAATGCCTGCCTTAATTTTATCATTTGCTCTTTATAAAATGGATGAACAAATATGAAAGTGATCTCTTTCATTAAATTTAATGAACATATTACATTTTTATCAAGAGGACATGTTCTCTGAAGCAATGTGCATTGTTCTAGTAGCCACTATACTGTGACATTTTTATAGCTGAGTTATTAAAACATACACTGGAAGTGTGCTTATTTTAATTTTATTTATCTGCTGTCATGTCATTTGGACACAAGATTCAGGGTGGCTTACAGTTAAAACAATTTATGCATCCATAAAAATGAAATAAAAAATATTAGCAAAAAAGGCAGTACAAATATAACAGTACAATGAAAATAAATACCAACAAACAACTGAACACAAATCATGCAATCCTTCATATCCCATTTTACAGGATAACAATCCTCCCAACATTTTCAAGCAATATAAATAATTGAAAATAACAATACAGTAAATGCTACTAAAAAGCTCAAACATTCTGCCCTTTGAGCCTGTCCTAATCCAGTCCATCTGGAAGCAGATAGTAGCTGCAGTTTGTATCCCATCCTGCATCTCTAGTCTTGGATAATATGTATTAATGTGTGTGCACCTGTGTGTATATATTCTAAAATAAAGCACTGAACAGACGTATCATACTAAAATTGACTTTGTAGCTTATAAAATATGTTAAGACTATTATGCAAAGCATCTATTTCTGTTGAAACAAATGGAGTTGAATGAAGATATTATCTACAAGTCTGCTATTCTTCTGAAACAGAAATTATATGTCTAAGTCTACAGACTGGCAAAAAAAAAAGTTTCCCAAGTTGAAAAAAGCCTCCTTATCCAATATAATATTTATGGATCTTTATCTTGAAACCACAAAAATACTGCAGATAATTGCTCCAGACAAAAATATGTTCATATAAACCCCTGGGCATCATTTAGGACTTTTAAGAAGCTTCATTTCTCAGAAGTGAGTTTTTACACAGAGTGTCTCTGTGCGTAGGCACAGTACTTAGGCACTATTGCTAGTTCTAAGAAACACAGGTAGAAGCAGCAAATCTTACAACCAACAGAAACAGCTGAACACAAATAATGTTTACCTTTTCTAAAAAATCCTCCCTTTCTGCTACCATAGAAAATTCATTGTTTGATCATGGCTTAAGCAGCATAGTGAAATTGTGCCTACTGAGAAACATGCTTCCTTCAAGTCAGGGCAAATCCAGCCCCTTCTCCTCTGAAACTAGGTATGAAACAAAAGGAAGCTTCTGTTTAAGAAAAGGACTTGCTTTATCCCCTCCCCCTTTTTTCTGGTTCTTATACGTTAGAAAAATTGTGCATGCTATTTTCCCCTATCCACCAGTTTAGAAAGAATTAAATTCCTTGGGCTTGTTCCCTTTTTGTCTAGTGAGTTTTGTACATCAGTTGATTCTGCTGCTTATTTCCCTGCTTATTTCAGCTCACACTTTTTTTTTTAACCACCAAATGGGTTAGGGTTATCAATTGATGGTTGACGGTTGCCTCTATGAATTTATGTATCCATAATGTAATCACCACAAGGATATCGCACCAATCCAGTATGTTTGCAGTAGATTTTGGACATGAGATTTTAACATTACTGGTGGGCCCCTTGCTTTTTAAAAAACAGTTATTTTATTTCCTGTGGAGTTGGTTTTACAATCTCTATTCAAGAGAAGCAGCTGATGCATCTTTCTCACTTTCATACAGACTGATTGCTATTTTCTCTACTGACTGAAGGGTAGCTGTTCCAGGGAGGATCACCAGCAGACAGGATCTCACCTGCTGGGTAAAACACTTTACCATCCTCATTCCACAGACTATATTATTGGTCTAGCCATTTGGAATCTCACATTTTTAAACCTGTTAAAAAGTAAAGGTTTGCCACAGCACACCTGTTTGCTTGCAAACCCAGCAAGATAGGTTATAAGATGTAATCAGTGAGTTTCATGGTTGTAAAAACAGCTCACTATCCCTTCAGTGCTCATTGGACAAAAGTGATCTGCGAATTCAAGAATGACTCTTCACTACACTGCCTGTTTCACCAAGGTGTTCGTTTTCTTGCACCTTCTATCAGTTTCACATCCTCAACGTTTTTCAGGAGGCAGTTCTGTTTTTTATGCAGGCACCTGGAAATTATACCTACTGCTGAAGGTGTCACTGCAGATAACTGCTGGCTTCAAGCTCAGTTTTCTAATGTTTCTTCCATTTGTTCAACTTTTATCTTTTCATCCACCTAAAGCTACTTTCCAAACAGCAGGACTACATAGGGAAGATTATCTGAACATAGATTCGAGCTTAGGGGGCACTGCACTTGGATAAATTCAAATAAAAGTACCAAGCGATCCTTTCTCCTCTAGGCTGAGGAAAGCCATAAGCTTGTTCCGCTTAGATCCTCCTTTTCCCTCCTTTTGTTTTCTGCAGCTGAGTGCTTTGATTTTCAGATCAGACAGCCTTAAAAGCACGGGGGCTACCCCACCCCGGAGTCCAGTAGCCATAACCCAGGCGCATGCGGCATCGCAAAAAAAGAAGAAAAGGAAACAGGTTATAGGGAAATGTAGTCTACTTCTTGTATCTTTCGCCCTCCATTTTCTTCGCAGGTCATCAATTTGCGCATGCACCGATTTTTACTTGCGTCCTCTCTTCCGGCCCTGCAGCCCGCAGCCTGTGACTGGATTAAAAAGCAAAGGGGAGGGATCCAGTCTGACAGCGGATTGGGCAACCCTGCTGTCCTTGCTGGCTTAGGAGGATGATCGAGGCAGTGGCTAACTTCAAGCAGGGAAGGAGACGGCCTCTCCTTTTAACTCAGGAAACTCCTGCAAACTGGAGCGGCGGAACAATGCGGAGCGGGGGCAGGAGGGAGGCGCCGGCCGCGTCCCTTCCTCTCCGGGCACACACGGGGCTTGCTGCCCAGGCGGAGGGCGGCCGCGGTCCTTTGCCCCAAGTTCTCGAAGTTTACGCCCGGGGCCCCGACAAGTGCAAAAGCACCGTCCTAACCCTTACCGGCTCTGCCCGTCCTCCTAGCGGCGGCGCC